GGGGTGCTTAATATATATATATATATATATATATATATATATAAAGGATCTTAAATCTCAAAAGTAAAATAAACTAACACATGTATGTCTTGTCCACAAGTCTGTTGTCATGGCATGTAAGAGGAGTTTTGATGTTGGTGGCCATGTGTTTCTCTCCTCCTATGCATGGTCGAATGCTCCTTGGTGATTAATGGCAATAGTTATGGGAGAATTAAAAAAAAAAAGGAAGAAAATTATAATTAGTTATAATATAAAGATTCTAAAATAATAATTTACAACTCACTCTAAAGCAAAAATAAGAAACTATAACAAAATTTTATATTAGTTGCAAAGCAACCAACATAAATAAATATGTTAACTTTTTTTAAAAATAACGTAAACTTTTTTATTTATGTTAGTTGTAAAGCAATCAACATAAATAAATATGTGAATTTTTTTTTAAATAATGTAAACTTTTTATGTCGGTTAAGTTTTAACTAACATAAAAAATATTTTTTATATCTATTTTTTATCCATCCTAGAATAATAATTTAGAGGTGGTCCACCCTAAAATTCATCACCATTAGCTAGACCAGTTGTTGCAAGGCAAAATTTCACTTGAAAGAGATAAACACGTTAGTACAATCATCTTATGAGTTGGGTATGAATTACCAAGAGTCATCATGTCATGATCATGGATGTCTAAATGGCTTGAACTCAATGAATTGACTAAATTAATTCCATATAAAAAATGTGTTAGGCTAATGAAATTCAAGGTTGATATGATTTTACGCACACCTAACTCAATTAAAAATTTTGTTAGTTTAATGTACTCTGTTCTATGGTGGATTAAGGTAACTTACTAGCTTAAACTTTAAAAAAGAAAAATAAATTATGTATATCATAAGGCATCTTTATCTTTTAATTTAATTAATGAGAATTGCACATTTTTGTTTTTCTTAGTTAGGTGAAGATATTTAAAGATTAAAAAAAATGCAATTCTTATCTATGTTAGACTTTTACAAAATGGTATAATTTATTTTCAAACACCACATCATTTATCAAAGAGATTTACTTCATTTGGTTGAACATGATGCATGAGTGTTGTAAATATCTTTATATTCATATTTGATTTTCATAGAAAAAAAAAACTCTATATTATTTATGTTAATTGTTACTTTTATGTGTTATTTTTATGGATAATTATCTAATTTAATGTGGGGGTAAGATTGAGTTCAATTGACGTTGTAAATAAAAAAAGACAATCGAAGTTAATAGTAATTAAAAAACCGTTCAAATAATATTATTTTGAATAATGATTGTGATACATTCTAAAATTTAATGTGATGAAAGGTAATGTTGATTATGACATGATGTGATTTTATTTTTTTATTTATCTCTTAATTTTTTTATTATATGATGAATTCTTATGTTATTTTTTAATATTGTTTATATTAAGCTCGTATGTCTTTATTATCAAGTTGTAACTTATAAATATACTCTCAATTGAATAATTTATATTTAATGTATTAATGTAAAAGTATGACAATGTTAGCATTAGTTGTATTAAAAAACTAATTATTTTACACATTAAAAATTATTATTATATCATTTTTATATTAATATAACACTCCTCAGATTTGACGTTTGAGCAATTACACCTTACAACACTTTATGTGGTAATACTTCACTACCTTTTTATTAGTCAAAATTTTTTACTGGTCAGAACCTTCCTTGATAGTCCTTCTTGAGATATTTGGTTGTCTTTAAGATCAATGATTGTGTCCACAAAAACAACATAATTTTTTTTTACCATGTTTTATCCACATTGTCACGCATTTTAAAAATCTTCTTAAAAGGTCACTCATTTCTAAATAAATTAAAGTCAAACATGTTTAACTGTGAAATTATTAAGTGATGATCTACCAAAAAGTAAATGCATCTTGTTAGTATATATAATAAAGTTAATTTCTTAAAGTTATTCATAACTGCACAGTCTCACACTTGTAAAAGAAATTTGATCATCCCAATGTGTTCGAGCTATTACAAGCTCACAAACTTCTGCTTGGTTCATCCTCGAACCACAACATATTGGGAGAGAGGACTTAGTTTGATATCATTTATAACATCCCTTAAATTTGACATCTCAATAGCTACACTATAGACACTTTACACACTAACACCTCACTCAATTTTCTCGTTGATTAGAACCCTTCATTGGTCTGAACCTCCTGTAAGTAGCTTTTTCTGAGATACTAGGTCGCTTTCACTATTGATAATTGTCTCCACAAATCAAAACAAATTTTTTTAACATATTTTGTCCTCAGTTGCATGTTTTTTAGAAAATTTTTCAAAAGATTACTAATCTTTAAATTCCTCCAAATCAAAAAGACTTAATTATGAAATTCTTAAGTAAGAGATTATTGAAAAATAGATATATTTTATTGGTACAAGTAATACAAATTATTTTCTTTAAATCATCCTCAACTACATGGTCTCACACCTATAAATTTCTTTCATTTCGATGTGTCTAAAATATTACAATCAAGCTCCTGTTTTTATAAAAGATTCGAGTAAAATGGAAGAGAATATGTAATGAAACTCACATGTTTTTTTATACCCCTAATATAAGATTAGAAGATAAGTTAGTTTTTTTTTTAATACTTTCCCCCCTCCTATTAAAATCAATTTATCAATATACAAAATACAATTGTTTAATTTAATTGATAATATCAGTTTTGATTTTTTTATTTAATTAAATATAAACCAATTAAAAATTTTATTTATCTTCTACTTCTGTCTTCCAATTTTTACTTTTTTTTATTACATTTCTAGTTAGACCTCTTCTTTCCTTTTCTCTCTATTACTTTCCTTCTTTTTTTTTTTTTACCAAAAACAACATCTCAACCAGAAAATATAACGGTCAGAATCATGAACTAGCTCTAATTAACAGAACTAGTCCATCCAGTCAACAAAAAGGTTAATTGAGCATGTTACTCTTGCAATTAAATCTCATATATTCAGTTCATACATTGGGCTGACTGCCTTCTACCCTGTCATCGTATAAAACATTTTTTTCTAAAGAAAATTATTTATAAATTATAAAATTTAGATTTAAACTAATATTATGCTCAGTATAACTATTTTATATTAATTTAAATTGTTTTTAACTTGAATTGTAAAACATTTTTAATTTTAATGATTCAAATGACCCAATGATGTAGTCACAAGCCACCAGGGCCAGAATCCAATTTTCTTTTTATCAAATTAAAAGTAGACTCATCACCTTCTTTCCTTTTTTTTAAAAAAAAAAAAAGAAATTCTAAAATTTTTTTAATCTTTTTATTATTATTTATTTATACACCTCCAAAGTTCAAGCACTTTATCCTTTCTTTTCAACACACTCCATTTCCTCTCTTTTTTCCATTTTCACATACATTTCTTCATTTTTCTTCCACTTCCACCTATTTGAACAAGTAATTTTAATTCTTCCAATTTTCACATTACTCTTTTCTTTCCTCCCCTCTTTCAATTTTCACACGCACCTAGACCATAAAACTAGTGCGTGATAATTTGTAAACATGTATAGCTTCCTCGACCTTGTCGAAAGTACCGAATCAAACACATCTTTTCTTTAAACACTTATTGCCCTTTTACATTTTCAGAAACTTCAACATTAAATTAAATGCTTTAAAAAATACTTTCCAAAACATTAATTTTTGTATTATGAAAAATACTATATGAAATAATAAAATTAGTATTCCGAAAAATACACATTTTCTACATGTTTTCAAAAAGTACTTTTGGAATACTAGATTTATTATTTTAATTTTTTTTTGAAATTATATAAAATAACTGAAATATTTTTTGAAATAGTAAAATTAATATTCCAAAAAATACTTTTCAAAAATATATTTTTTAATATAATTCCAAAAAGTTTTCTGAAACAATAAATTTAGGATCCTAAAAAGTATTCTCTAAAATTATGTAAAAAAACATAATTTCAAAAAATACTTTCTGAAACATTAATTTTACTATTTCATAATATTAAAATTAATGTTATCCAAAAAGTATCTTCCAAAACACTAGATTTAATGTGTTTTTATGAAGTGTAAAATGGGAAGAAATACTCTAAAAATATGGACGTCCAGCTCAACATCTTAAAAGTCACACACACTTACAATGTTATTGCACATCAATTCTAAGTCCCAAGTAGGTGTGAAAATTGAAAGAGGAAAGAGAAAATAACAATACAAATACCAAAAGGAGAGGAGGAAGAGAATAATGTAAGAACTAAAAAAATTAAACTTATCTACTAAGATAAGTGGAAAGTGCAGAAAAGGAAAAGAAATACATGTAAAAACTGAACAATGAAAGCATGTTAAATTAAATGTTGAAAGTGTAAAATCAAAAAACAAAATAATTAAAAAAAAATTAAAGATATCATGAGCCTTAGAAGTATCAAACGGGTTATGGCCCTTAATCACAGAAAGTGACTCACCGAAAACATTCATGGTCCAATTTGAATAAAAACAAGTAGCATCAAAATTAATTCATAATCACTGCAGAGGCAAATATGATTTTTTTTTAAAGAATAATTTGAAATTTCTATTAAATTTAAACAAATGCAAAGCGCAAGTAACAGAAACCCCGTCACAATTGAATATGTGGCCACGTGCTATCTGATCAAATTTTCCTTTATTTTCTTACACAGGAGCACGATTGACTCTGGGAACGAGTATTAGAATTGGAAGCGAAAATTACGGAACTAGCTTTCATACTGAATACAAAAGTGTACATATCTTGAAAGTGATTTAGGATGAACAATCGACAATTAATTCATAAACCTGTACTAACTCTTACATGTAAAAGCTCCGCAGAGAATTCATTGAAAATTATAAGGCTGCCCTCGACAGAAAGTTTGATTTTCAATGATGTTTAGCTCCCATTCTAAAATTCCCAACTGATGTTTAGCTCACTTGTCAGTGGTGTCATGTCAAAAACCAATAAGAGATGATGAAATAATTGATCAGGTAAATCCAATACCTTTATTGAATCTAATCACCAAGCCGATAGGATCTTCCCCTGAAAGCAACTCCCGAGGCCGTGCCCCTCTCTTGCTGAGGGTTATTAGCAGGCTGCCCACGGCTAACTGGTTGCACTCCAATTCTCCACCTTGCAACCAATTTATGTCTAAAAAATAACTGTTAAGAACGCAACAAGCTTTTGGCCAAATTTCGTGTTATATGGAGTTAGAAAATCATTGACTAAAGAATAAGAACATGGTTGTAGGTCCTGCCCCTACAATGCTGCAAAGAGAATATGAGGAACAACTATGGGTGTTTTTCGATTGAAGAGCTTGGAGAGGAAGGGTAGTTTTTATTGGTCGGGGGTGGATAGGGTTTCTTATGTTGGGTTCAGCTTCACAAGAAAATAAATAAATAAAGCTTCACGACAGTTCAAAATAAAGAATTTTAAAAAGACAACAGCATATGCACAACACCTTAAGCAACAGAAATTGAAAAGGATACACCCACATTGGAGTCTTCAAAATGTTCTTTCCACCTGCTAGTGGATGCAACACTGTCAAGAAGTAGTACAGATGTCCTGCGATGATACCTAAGAGATCAGGTATAAGAGGCGAGCCAAAAATGACATCCAAGGCAAGCATCGCCCATGGAAGATAGAAGGCCTGGAAAAAAATACAGGTCCTATCAGACATTGAAAGATATAACTCAGTTCTTGTAGCAGATGCATAAGAACAAGGCTAACTTTCAGGGAAATGAAACATACCTTCAGTGCAACAAGTCCATATATGTTGATTTGAGCATTCGGAAATTCTCTACTCCAGACATAAAGGAGCATAAAAACAAGTGGTACTGCTAAAAATGGGGACCAAAAAATGGGGATAGCTGACAAAACCTATAGTTGACGAAATAACATTACAAAGAAAGAAACTGATGTTAGGACACTAAGTTAAAAATGCAAGTATGAAACTACAGAGAAAGCAACAAGGAGAGGGAAAATGAAGTTGGTGCAATTTTAACAACAATTAAACACATGATCTTTTGATCAGAACTTTGTCTCACGAAAATTAACCTCTCCTCAAATATTTTTCTAAAGTTCCCAAATGCTTCTCTCCACTAAACCAAGTTGTTTGGCAAAAAAAACATTCAAGCCTTCACTGACACTTTCTATCCTAGCTAACAAGCATTTATCTTCCCCAGTCTCCTACAGAGTACAGATTCTCCAACTATCAGTCACCTCATGTCAAATTGGTAAACTAATTACCATCATTTACTTACCATTGACCATTTCTGACAATCAATCACAGTCATCAAAATCATAGTTTATTTAGTTTATTTAGTCATCCTCATAGCCATCATTATCAGTTAACCACTGATCTGAAATTTCTCCCACTCAATTTGCATAAATCAATCGCTAAAAAGAAATCAAGCACAACTTTATCACTAAATATTTTCTGTGATCCTATGCTAGTATTCTTAAAGATGCATGGAGCATAACTTTCACGGACAGAATAGCCAAATGAAGAAGACAGATAAAAAAAAATAAATAAATAAAATCAGATCACTCAAATTAGCTATCTTCTTCTTTATCCAAAGAAAGAAAGAAAATTTGTCATCTTGTCCAGTACAATAAACGAGAACCATTATAATAGATGCTACAAATAAAGATGCCACCATTTTGAAGGAAAAATGTCACATAAATAATTACAAGATGAAAATATATGCAGATGATCACACATACCAATAGAGTAAAGGCACCAAATATCATCATCCACAAGAAATCAGCAGTTCGTCGGTCAAATGGTCCCTTCTCAAGTTGGACACCGTACCTTACTCTGTAAGTTATAAGAATAAGAAATTAAGAATTAATTCAGATGAAGTAAAAGATACCTCATAAAATTATATAAACTGCTTATTTAATAGAAAGCTCGTCGCATACATTATTTTTTTCAATTACTTACATCATTAAGAGACGAATCCCAAAATTGATAGAGAATGGTCCAAGGAAAAATAAGTTTGTGAACAGCCTCCAAACCTACAGATGATGAAAAGTTACAAAAGATTTACTAAAGAGTTCAACTGGAAAAGATAGCATTAAGATTATTACACAAGGTTGCCAACAGCAAGTTAAGCTTCAGGAAAATAAAAAATTTCAGCAGTAAAACTCTAATTGACTACTTATTAGCCAAAAAGTCTCCCCAAACAATCTGCAACCTGTCGGTTGCAAAAGGATTAAACTCTTGCTAATTAATGGAACAGTGAGTGCCCTGTATCCATAGTGTCTCATCTCTTTCTCCAAATGTATCAGAAAATGCAGCCAAAAGTATCAAGGGGATACTATTGATTCGATAGAAATTTTCTAGAACAGTCGATAAAGAAGTAGAGAGCATCACTATAAACCCCAAACAACCATTTGATACACCTGAAGCAATTATATATAACAAAATATGGATTGCTGACCTCAAAAGCACCTGTATATGCAGCACATGATATGATATGCAAACAATCACGAAAGTATAGAATAATCTGGTCAGCAATTGGAGGGTAGTCTTTTGGCTGCAAATCTGGTTATGTTACAAATAGTTGGGAGAAAAACAAAGTAAACCACCATATGACATTTCTTTTAATTTGGTTGATAACAAAAACAAAATAGATCCTCAATCTGCCATATATATGAAAATTCTCCACATCAAAGACGCGCGTAGGCATGTCAAAAGGGAAGCTTCAAAATGAACACAATACTTTGCAAAAGCCTCGACAGCATATTCCTCTTTCACTGATACTGATACCAATGATATCATGCGATTCTCACCTGAAAACCGTAGAAAACTCGTTCGTACAATAGTGCAATGTGAAATGGATGATATAATCCAAGTTGGTAAGCTGCGGTAGCCAACAGGCAAACGGTGCCATAAGCCTTGGTTATAGGCGGAAGAGAGTGGTAAAACCTGAAAGCATGCAAAGTTTAAAGCATTAAACACAGAGATTGAAAAAATTACAAAACTCGCCAAGAAATTTCTTATACATAATCCAAGCAGGTTAATGAAAGCAAACTTGTAATAACATGATTAAACTAATTACTTCCGTCACTGCTAATGCTGGAAAACTCGCAAATTAGGTTTACGAAGGGAGAACAGATTCATACTAAACCATCTTCATCGACTTAAAATAACGAAATAGCTTAAAATCGGTTATAATTCGACAGGCAAAAATCGATAGGTCAAATTAATAATAATAAAAGAGATTCATCAACATTATAGTTATTTGGCCAATGATTAAAAGAAATAGTGAAGGATGAAGATAATTACTCAGCGGGAGAAGACATTGCTTATTGAGGAAGATAATGAAAACAAAACCTGATTCCACAGTTCAGAACTCAGAATTTCAGATCTTCGTTGTGAAATCGTTTCCCTCAGACCCAGAAGCTTCTGTGCACCCTCCTCGCACGTGCCCGCCGAAGGCCCAATTTCACGTGGGCCGTTTTAAGGCCTCCATCTGGCAGGGATGTTGGGCCATCACATTCTAGTTAGTTCTAAAGTAGGCTGAGGTTCGACTCAAGAATTATTTTTTCATTACACGAAAATTACTCACCTATAATCATTTCACTCAAGAAATCATAGGACATAGAAATAAAATGTTCACAAAAGCCAAACAACTAAGTGAACTAACCTAGGGATTCTCTTCGCTTGGCAGCCAAATGTCTTGTCGAAAATCATTCTAGTTCCTTAACTTATGCTTAAAAAATTATTCATTGCTCTATCATGAGTCATGACTGAAAATAAATACCTGTAATGTTTTTTTTCTTCAAATTTATAATATAAAAAATAAGTATTATTAATTTAAAATGTAATGTAATAATAATTTTTTTTTTAAAAATATCCATTATATTTTATAAAATAAAGTAACCATTAGTTACTCAAAATAATACGTCAATTTTAAACAATTATACTTATAGATATCTATAACTATTAATAAAAAGAATATATTTTAAAATAATTACTTTGGCCTCTATTTTTTTTTAAACTTTTCTGTCTATTTGGTTATATAAAAAATCTTTATAAATAAGAGATAAGATGAAAATAATAATAATATATATATATATAATGTAACCCACTATATAACTCCTCTAGTTATAATATAAAACTTTTATATATTCAACAAATAATTTTACAAATACTTTATTTATTTCTTTATAACATTAACAATATTTTAAATCTTATAAAAATCCCACATCTTGTCAAATATTTATTAAATTATTATTTACTTTTTAACAATATGTAATATTTTAAAATTAAAATTAAAATACTGCTCAATTAAATAAAATAAAAATAGATTTATATTGTTGATCGAGTTCAAATATAGTTACTGTATAAACGGCCTTAAAACACTCCATCTCATTTGCCTTAATCTCAACCTGACTTGTTAATTTTTACTATTTCTATAACTTTATCCGAATTAGCAAAAAGAAAAAAACTAACGAGATAATTATAACTGTTCCGGTACATCCTTCCAAAAATCAATCGAAATAGCTTTTGAATCTTTCAAATTTTTATATTTTTAATAAATTTATTATAAAATAATTATTTAATTTAATATTTTATAATTTAAATTATTTTTTTAAGCATTCGGAATAATTTTCTATTGTGAAATCAACGATCAATAAACTGAAAGAGACAGAAATTAACTAGGCAGACACAAGTTAAGAGACAGTAGCGACAATAGCTGTAATAATAATAATATATAGTCTTCTAGAAACACGTGATTCAAATGCATAATAGTAAACAATCAATTCATCCTAAAATCATTCTAAAATTAATATCACTACTTGTTTTGGTCCTTCATTACGTGAAAAAGAAATTTTAATCTTAATTTTGATAATAACTATCAATCTATTTTTAACTTTACGTTGAAAAAAGTAATTTAATTTTTATTATAATAATTGTCGAGAGGAGTATAAGTGAATTGCGATAAACTCCTAAGTTCATTGCTCGATCTAAATTTTAAAATAACTAAAAAAAATATTAATCATCTAATATATATAATATATGAGACAATAAATAAAATTAGAAACATACATAATAATGCATTCAATATTACTATATTACATAGAACTATAGGCATATGTGATACATCACATAAAATCAAGTTA